TTTGATACAGATAAGTGACCCAGTTGGATTAACCTGGCCTAGGAGCAGCCTTCGAAAGAATGAGTTGTTGTCACAGTATGCTGAGATGTTGGATTCAAATGCAACAGGAAACAGTTATGTGATGGACATGATCAGATGTGCTGTGTGACTTTTAATTAAGCAATTATTTCATTCCCTAAAGTGGAAACAATGGCGTGCGAGGCCAAAAGGCAGGTGCAACTGGTGGGAGTTCAACTACACGCCCAGCTTAATCCTTTTTTACTGTCACTATTACTGGTGCATAAAAACCCTTTTTTCAAATAAACAAACGTCTTAGCCGGGTGATTGAGGGAGTGGGGGGGTGAGGTCCGCGATGGTTGTAAAACAGACCATAAAATAAAAGTCCCTGTATTGTCATTGTAGAAACAAAATGCAAAAAATTGTCTACTAAGACCGTAGTTTTTAAAAAAATGGTGTCGTAATGATTGGATTATTTCTAGTGAAATTCAGATTCACTGCAGCAGCTGGAAGCCCAGTCCAGAGTGTTGCTGTGTGGCTACATTGCCCCAGAGGACAGGCACATGGAGTCAGCGTGACACAGCAGTGGAGAACAGGGCGAGCAGGGTGCAGCCTGACGGTGGGGATTGACCAAAACAGCTTGTGACAAGTTGGATGGAGGCGACCGGCTAACAGGATGGAACAAACTAACATCTCTGGATTATGGATTATGAATGCGCGCAACACTAATTTGGAGGAATTAATTGTCCGCAGCCCGACAGCTGATGGACCCAACAACTGTTGCCTGACAGCTGAAACGTGGAAGTGCGGTCCAACAGGAAGTTGGACCGGCCTCTTAGTTTCAGCCAGTTGCATGTTCTCCTCCTACGTGAGTGTCCCTCCCCTCGGGCCTCCTACAGAAACCCCAGCTTCTTTCTGTTCCTTTCTCCATGGTCATAGACGGTGCAGTTGAGCAGTTATTATACGCTCAGAAACACACGGACTCAGAGAGGCAGCCGAGATGATGGATGATGGAGGGAGTAAGCCTGATTACATGTTGCAACATCAGAAAACTGTGCAGGGAAAGTGAGTGTTTGCGGAAGAGTTGAGTAAGTACAGAGGCAGAGGTACGTGAGTACCGTATCAGTTCTGGATAAGGTGTTGTTGTTGTGTCTCTCCGTTATCACCTTTTCACAAAGGTGATAAAACACCTTGAACTGTTTGTACTGGAAAATTTGCACTGCACATCGATTTCTGATCTCCAGTTTTGTGAAGCTTTGAACTGCAGAGACAAATTTCAGCCAAATGAACCGTGAGCTTTTCTTTTAAAACAACTTTATACATTTTTATTCTTTCTGACTTCGTTTTAATCATCCAAATTAAAAAAAACTTCTACCGTTGAGTGTTTTCCCTGCAGCAACAGCCTGTTCACTGAACAGTATCATTGTCACCATTACCTTAATAACCAACAAAGGGTGGGATTCGAATTATCTTGGTGTAACCTACCCCTTAGCTCAATACCTCCCATATCTTTGGGTATGCTTCATTCCACCCAGTTCCATCAAGGCGTATACAAAGTAGACACATCCATTAGCATACTGAGTGTTGCACAGAAAACCACTCAGTGGGAAATAGTGTATATTCCTCACTGTCTTGTAAGAGACACCGAGCTGATGAGGTTGAGAGTCGGTGCTAGTAGCTGCAAAAACGTGGAGGGGTGCAGTAACTGGTGGAGAGAAGGAGCGGAGCGAGGCGCACAACTAGCCCATCAAACTTACTGGCATCAATTGGAGTTGCAGGAACTGAACTTACTTGTCTCGAGAATTCTCGTCTCTCCAGCAAAACACAGCAAACCTTATTGTGTGCGGTGATTTGCTCGGAATTCAGAATTTCCAAATTTGGAAAACTGACTTCTCGCCAACAGGGCCTCAATCCAACATGGCCTCAATCCAACATGGCCTCCTCACAAAAAAATGGAATGACAGCCACAGTAATAACTTTTTATGTGCAAATCTGTCAATTTGTATCTCAGTATCAAATTGATCAAATGTCACTAAAGTTTTTAAATGCTGAGCGAGTCACATTATCGGCTTGTAACACATATATTAGATATAAATGATATTAAAGGAAGAAATTACCGCTTGGGTGAATCATAGCTGTTGTGGCACTAGGACAAATCTGTAGAGCTGTTTATAAGCTGTCCAGCAGAACAAAGTCAAACTTTCTCCTGCCTGTTTTAATCCTCCCTTCACACTCTATTAATTTGTTGTATTTTATCTCCTTCTATTTTGATAGACTTCCCCATTCTTCAACCTGTTGTGCTGTGGAGTAAATCTGCTCCTCTGCTGCTGTTTTTGTAAATAGCAGCCTTCCTGGGGGACAAAGGATTAATTATAGACTCTGCAGCCAGAGATCAGTTTATTTTTGAAATTGGTATCTAATGACAAATTTTATTTTAATCAGATAAAGTCATTGCGATAAGTAGATTAAGCATGACAGTACATTAGACAGTCGGTCGCCGTGGAAAATGCCAAACTAACTGGCCTTTTTATCCTCTTTGTAGAAAGAAAAAAAAAAACACCTTCATGAATTGAATTGCATTTAAGTGTTAAGATTGTTGTGACTTTCTAAAGATGGCATTCATGCAGCAGAGAGGCAGAGCTTGGAATGTGCAGTCTGATTTCAAACGTTTATGTCGGTCATGCATATGTTGTATCACATGCAAGTGAACACAGTTGAGAGAATTTCATGAAGCACATGTGACAATGAATAGGTCTGCCATGATTGGCTATCTACATGACGAAGGGAGTAGTAGCAAAATTGATCTGATGACTGTTGTTCCAGAACTGTTTTTATGGTTTCTTTACTTATTAATAGCTCCTTTTATGTGTCAGTCCTACATTTTAGAGTGACAGCATGAAAGGGAAAGACTTTCCCTCTTGACGGTATTGACATGAAGAAAACAAGTGGCCAAGTAAATGCAGAGAAAGACGAGGTTAAGGAATGTAATCAGGGAACAGGAGAGCTACATGGTGAACAATGGAAGCAGTGAGAGTTTGGTGGTGTGTGCTTTCCTTCTTTGGTGACTAATCATTTCCGCTTGAGAACCAGTTTTTCCCTAAGGGGGGAAAGCTGTTCATTTCGCGATGCGTGCGCACACACACACAAACTAACTGGCCTTCTTCATCCGTCTGATGTAATGCCAGACCTGCAGACAGAATGCAGTCATCGCTGTCTAAAAGTAGGACGTGCACAGTTAGTGTACTATAAACGGCATTAATGCTGCATTATAATTCATTTTGAATATTTACTTTAGGCAATAACAATGATAGCTAAGCAATCGCTAAAATAGCAACAGCTATTTAATTGGGTGTAGGATTAAAGAACCTTGTATTGTTTTCTTTTTCCATGAAAAGCAAAAGCCATTATTGACAAAAAAAAATCAATCACTGCAAAAATAGATAGATAATGGGGCCACGGAAGATGGCCGAAATAGCAACGGAATGACACTGTGGTTATAAATTTTCTTATTTTAGGATTTTGTGTTAAACCATTGGGCACAACAGGTATGAAGTACCAAGCTAGAAGCTAAAGCTACTTCTGACTTTTTTGGCAAAGAACATATTTTATATGTTCTGTCTTTAACATTACCTACAGTTTATTATGCCGTCATCTCATCAGTAATAGTCCGGCAATTGCAATGTGAATGATTCATATTTAGATAAACATTATTACCTCTTTAGGTGGGAAAATGGAGCAGACTCTTGGTAGGGAGAAGCGCTAAACTGGAAGCTAATGCTAACTGTTGCTTTACTGCTGAAAAACACGTTTAATTATTGTCAACTTTGACATCTTGTCTTCAGCTTATCACTAATAATCAGGCAACTATGATATCAGAATTTTTGATGAATTTTTGATGAACTTTGGACTTTTTTGGCGTCATAATTTCTCTGTCTTATAACAAGTTTCAGGCTTTGGAGAAGTGCCACATGTGAAGATAGCTTCAGTTTTGGAGAACATTGATTGTGTTCAGTGTAAAAATTCATTGGAATATTGGAGGTTTTAGTAACTATGAGTTAATATAACACTGGTGTTTGTTAGCTTGTTGCAGGATTTGTGTGCCACCATTTTTGGTAGTTTTTTTTTTTCTTCACTTAGTTGGGAAAATGGTGGAGCACAAAATTTTATACTAATGCTAACTGATGCTTTTGAGATGATCCTTAGAATTATCTGTTTTTCTCACATTTAGGCAGGAAAATGGCAGAGTGCTAAATTTCACTTTTAGCTAATGCCAACAGTTGCTATCTTGTTCACGCTTAATTAGTGATAATTGTACAATTTCTGAACTGTTTTGAGCGTCACCTTTTCTTATCAGTGATGGTCGGGTAACTAAAGATACTGACTATATATTTATAAGCTAAACTTTTGCACCACTTGTCAGTGGTGCCCATCATCTCGAAACGCTTCATCATGTCAGAAGTGTGTACAAAATCCAAAAAACCTAGCTCTTAACAATGCCTTCCGGTGCGGCGCTTAGCTCATGGCTGTTCTCACAGTAGCACTCAGTCTCATGCTGTGGCTGCAAAGGTGTTTTTCTCCTCCCTGCCAGAGGCTCTGGTTTCTCACCATCAACCGTCCCCTCAGGTTGCTGCCATTTCACGCAGGGTTGTCACACACACCTACTTTAGCCATCTGTGTTGTATGCACCGTTATTTTGATGTGTCCATCTTCTCTTCAGGCCCTGCCAGTGGTTTCTTTTGGTCTGCGTTTTCTCCTCCACAGTCCCTTTCTGCACATCTCTGCCGGCACTAATTACTAATTAACTTTGAAAAGGCCCCACAGCCCATTTTGAGTCCCACGAGGACAACAGCTACATGCAGTATTTAATCACTTCCTGTGTATGTGCAGGCCACAGTCTGTGTTCGTGTGCATCTCGATCCCTCAAAATCTAAGCCACAGATTTGTGATTTCAAAAGGAGGTATGAAATGTTTTCAATGTTTTTGTTATTCTTTTCCACCTTCAGGAGGAGCCACCATGACATCAGAAATGCAGGAAATTGCCATCACAGAGGAGAAGCCTTTACTCACGGGTCAGGCTGATGGTGCCAAGGTTAGACATTCTGCATCTGATATGAAATGTCATATAAACTGCACAGGAAAATGCATCACACTAAGTCCAAAACGAGCCAGGCTCAAATCAGAAGCATTTTAACTCCAGTCAGAACTCGTGTGTGTGTGTGGGGGGGTGTGTGTGTGTGTCCCAGCGTCAGTGTTTGCTCTCTTGAGTCTGAGCAAATCCTTCATCAGGCGAGGCGACTTGTCTTCCAAGCACATATGTGAAAAGTCTTAGCGCCGCCGCATAAGCGGGTGTTTGTGTGTGAGCAGAGCTGCAGTGCTGGCTCCTATCTGCTGGGTTGACGTCAAACGACGACGACGAGGGAGTGAGAGCAGATCCTGCTCTGCTCTGCAGGGCAACATCTGCATGGCAACATCAGGCGACTTAATGATGACCCCTGGTGGCCAACACGACTGTAGCACAAATGCATTAAAATGTAAAAAGTTTTTGGCTTTTAAAAAAAAAAAAAATTATATATATATCTCGAGAGAAAGTAGATGCACTCAAAAACTTGAGCAGGCAAATATTTGAATACTGCATTTAAACTCGAATGATACAGACGAAACAGAGGGAACCAAACGAGAATAGTGGTTCTACTTATTACAGAATCCTTTTTAAGGTTGTTTGAGTTTAGACGCAATTTTCAATCATTTGCCACCTCTGTTGCTTCTGTTTCGTCTTTTAGCTCAGCTTACAACCTGGTTTTGATCCAGCAGCAGAAACTGTGAATATTTGTAGCATTTTTCCTGCATCTTAAAAGTATTAACTGGGACTGTGTCTGCTTCCACTAACATATGAAGAAGAGAAAATGTTACATAAATAGAAATGCACAACAGTGTTCACATCTTAAAAGGATTAGATTATGAAAATATTTTGACTACTGTGAAGTTGTTAATTTTATTATTTATATTAGAAGAGGAGGCGACGTCACACTGTGTGTGAGAGAGAGCAACGTCTGTACAACATGGATTCACTCTTTTAAAACGAGGACAAACTGATCAAATTGACATTTTAAGTGCATTACATATTGGCAGTTCATGCAATCAGCGCTGCCAAGACAACACTCCCTGCGTGTTCGGTCTGTAGTTGGATCTCGAGCTTCAGAGACAAGATGTCAAAACCCAACATGATCCAAGACAAACCAAACAGAGCAACTTTTCTCTACTCCGTCCTGCATTCCTGTTATCTGCTGGAAGTCTTGCTCTCTCTCGTTTCCTCGTAGCCTGAATGAAACACAGTCGCGTCTCAGGATGTCGTAGAAAATAGTTTTCTTTCAAACTGCTTCATTTTTAAAAACGTCACTGATGGAGAAAATTGATCCACAACAAAGAGTGGTGTTTTTATCTACTCCTATTGTGTTTTGGTAACAAGAACAACCTTTCATCTGTCTTATCTGATTCTTTTTTAAATCCTCTGTCTTCATGTACCACATGCATCTTCTGTGAAATACACAAACATCCAGAGCATCTTACTAATTAGATTGTCTTTCTTCTAGGATGTTGCTGAACTGGCTGCAAGAATACTGCTAGATCAAGGACAGGTAAGACCTCCACAAATGCATGAATCAGTTCAATCAGGTTGAAAATTGTTCTAACCCATGTCTAAAAGCAGACACCTTGAGAAATAACCTTTCATAACAAAGCAACACTTATAAAATATTAGGGAAAAAAATCAACAAAAAGTAACAATTGAAGTGTGACCTTCAGATAGTTTCTTGATTAGAGTAAGTGAGGTTGAGAGAAAAACACACCAGAGGATAAAACCTGCAAATTAACAGTAAAAATACATAAAAACATTGGTTATTCTCAAAGCTATTTGCTGAGCTTCCTTGAAATAAACAGCAAAGGTGTCGGGTTGGTGTTTTACATTTAAATGTTTGTTTCATTGTTAATTAGACCGGATGTAACTGGATCAGAATCTGACCATGTTTGACTGGATTATGTCAGAATAAATTAAACCGACTTGACATTTCTGGCTCTATACATATAAAGAGACAGTCTTAAATGCTAGGCTAAACCTAGCATGTTTACTCTCTTTTTTTTTGTTTTTTCTACGACTCAATTATTGAAAAATTCAGTAAATCACGTCACCGCACGAAATGAAGTCGACCTGCCTGATGAAGGAAACAAAAAGCCTGATAAGTAAATAGAGGATAGCCACACATTAATTCGCCACACTGATGCGTTCTTTTCAGGAGGAGTCCAATAACATTTTCTTTGTTGGACACGAGGTTCGGAAACATCATTGGCTTGACCCGGAGCTTTGTGTTTATTCAACACTAAAATGAATCCAGCAGGGCGGATAATTGCTGTCACATTCACGCGGTAATGTTAGAGACTGAATTCAATTAAATGTGAATACTTTGATTGGCCGGGTTTAGTTCTGCTTCAGCACTGGAAAGCAGAAAACAGAATGGGAGCGTGTGACGTTAGACTGTTTGGATTAAAATGCAAAAAAGAAAAAAGTTTTGCTTTATTTTGGGAAATGTGACTCACTGAAGCAGGGAAAGATTAATTACTCAGCAAAGCAGTTTCTTCCCCCTGCACCCCCTCTCTGTCCAGTAACTGTGTGTACAGAAGTAAACCGTTGTATCTTCCTTTTCGAAGTTTAATTCAATGCGTCGATACGTTGCGTTATACACGGCGGAAAGCAAAACGAGGCAATTTTTCTGTAGGATCATCAACACATTCAAGTAAAACTGTTTCTTGTTGTCAAACAGTTTTATTGAGGAATCAGACATGAAGATTGGAACAGACAATACAAATCCATCCTCTTTTTGATGTGAGCATAAAACAGAAAGACAATATAAAGTCAAAACAAAGGTAACATAAACAAGGACACTACAAAACCCACCCCCCTCCCCATTCCCTAGGACTTACATCTTATCACATCAAGAGTCAAATCAAATTTTTTCAAGTGGAGTTATCAATATATTGTCGAAGGGGTTGCCAAGTTTTATTGAATCGTTTTAAGTTATTTGTTAGTGAAAACCGTATTCTTTCCAGATGAGAGAGCCTTACCAGTTCCTCCAGCCACATTTTGACTGATGGAGCCTCAGATTTTTTCCAAAACATCAGCACTAGCTTTTTTCCTATGATGAAGGCATAAGACAAAAGTTGTCGTTGGTATTTATTAAATTGTGACAATTGAGCAGAAACTCCGAGTACAATCAGAAGTGGCTCCAGCCTTATCTCTGTATGAAACATATCTGATAAAGTTTTAAATATGCCAGACCAAAATGGGGTCAACTTAGTACACAAGCAGTAAGAATGGAGAAGTGTGGCTTCTTCAATATGGCATTGTCACACAGTGGGGAAGTGGTAGGGAAAATTTTATGTAACTTCACCTTACAGTAATGAAGCCTGTGAATAATTTTAAATTGAATAAGACAGTGTCTAGAGTTGGCAGAACACTTGTGAATATTCTCTAGTGCAGGCTTCCAGAGTTCATCGCTTATCTCCATTCCTAATTCCTGTTCCCAGCCTGTTTTGTGGCCCTGCATGGACGGTGAGGATCTGGATAATAAGACATTATAAATCTGGGAGATTAGATGTCCTTCCCCACCACCACGTTTAAAAAGTTCATCAAATTCACTAGGTTTTATATTCTCTAAAATGTGCATGTGTGATTTGGCATATGCCCTGACCTGTAGGTATCTAAAATGATTATGTTTATGGAGACCAAATTTGGCCTGAAGCTGAGAGAAAGAGGCAAAGTTACCACCCACCAACAGGTCACCAATAGTCCTGAGGCCTAGATCTTTCCATTGTGTATAACCTGAATCTAAAGTGGAAGGGACAAATGAGGGATTTTTTGCTATCGGTAATAAGAAAGATACAGATTCAATACCAAACTGGGATTTAATCCGTTTCCAAATACGAATAGTATTGTGGATGATGCGGTTATTGTTGTATGCCAACGTATCTATACTTGTTGGTGATAGAATAAGAGCACCAATTTCATGAGGGCTGCAATCTTCTTTTTCCATTGTGATCCATTCGGATTGTGTATAATTGTGATCTAGCCAAATTGTGATGATGCGAAGCGTACATGAGTAATAGTAAAATGAGAAATTTGGGAAGGCTAGTCCACCCTCCAATTTTGTCTTGTAAAGATGAGCTTTGCTAATTCGGTGCATTTTATAGTCCCAGAGAAATGGGACGATTATGGAATCAAGTTTCTTAAAAAATTTCTTGGGTAGAAAAATGGGAATATTTTGAAACAGATAAAGGATCTGAGGGAGAAAAACCATTTTTATTGCGTTGATTCTTCCCACCAAGGAAATGGGGAGAGACCTCCAGAATTGAATGTTTTTTTGCAGCTTCACCACCAGGGGGGAGAAATTCGCTTCATAAAGTGAATTAAAGTCCTTAGTAACCTCTATTCCAAGATAGGTGAACTTATTCTTAGCAATTTTAAATGGCATACTTTCCAAGATCGAAGAGTCTCTGAGCTTAACTGGCATGAGTTCACTCTTGGACCAGTTGATCCTATAACCTGAAAATCTGCTAAATTGCGAAATTGTATCTAGGAGCGTTGGTATAGTAAGCTGAAGATTGGTTATGAACAGTAGGATATCATCTGCATATAAGGAAATTTTATTTATAGTCCCTTTAGTATTATATCCCTGTATAAGGGGGTTGGCACGGATTGATTGCGCGAGGGGTTCTAGTGCTAAGGCAAAAAGTAAGGGTGACAGCGAGCAGCCCTGTCTGGTGCCCCTGTGTAACTGAAATACTGGAGATAGAGTTTTATTGGTGACAATTCTAGCACAGGGTTTATGATAAAGGATTTTTAACCATTTTAAAAAGTGTTCGCCAAGATCATATCTTGTTAGGGTTGCAAAAAGATAGGGCCACTCTACTTGATCAAAGGCCTTTTCCGCATCAAGGGAGAGGACAGCCAAATCAGAAATTTCCTCCCTCTGAGAGTAGATCACATTATAAAGACGTCGCAAATTAAAGAAAGAGTGTCTGTTTGGCATAAAACCCGTCTGATCGGGATGAATTAATTTATCCATTAATAAAGTCAACCTATTAGCTAGTATCTTGGCTAGTATCTTTTGATCATAGGTTAGCAGTGATATTGGCCTGTAATTACCTACGTCCTCAGGGTCCTTATCCTTTTTTGGTATTAGTATTATATTGGCTTCTCTCATAGTAGGTGGTAGAATATTATCTGAGTTTGCTTGAGTGTACATTTTTAACATATAAGGTGATAAAAGATCACTAAATTCTTTATAAAATTCCCCAGAATATCCATCAGGACCAGCCGCTTTCCCACTTTTTAGTGATTTAATAGCGACCTGAATGTCTACACATGAGAGATTTGCATTAAGAGAGTTCTTGTCGTCCTGAGTTAAAGTTGGGAGATTACAACTATCCAAGAACTTCTGTATAATTAAATCGTCTGTTACAGCATTGGTAGAGTACAATGATTCATAAAACTGTTTAAACCTGTGATTAATGTCTTTGTGTGAAGTTAAGATTTCCCCATCTTTTGATTTAATTTTATTAATTGTACGGTCATTTTCCATTTTCCTTAATTGTCTAGCCAGTAATTTATTGGGTTTTTCCCCAAATTCAAAATATTTCTGTTGAGTAAAAATGAAAGCCCTAGTGATATGATCTGACAATAATTGATTATATTTGTACCTCAGCGAAAGAATTTTTTTATGAGTTTCTGTAGAGGGGTGTGTAGCGTTATCTTTGTCCAGATGCTTAATTTGTTGCTCTAAATCCACCAACTCTGCATGATTCCTTTTCCTTCTTGCTGCCCGAAAAGATATAATACTTCCCCTCAAATAGGCTTTCATAGTCTCCCAAAGTATTGAAGGAGATGTTCCTGGAAGGTCATTCATCTCAAAGAAGAAAGTAATTTGATCTCTGATAAACTTACAGAAGTCTGGTTCCTTCAACAATTGCGGGTCTAATTTCCATGACCTTTCAGTATGGTTCAGATTATCTAGGCGTAGATCTAGTGAGAGGGGGGCGTGGTCCGAGATAGCTATATTATGATATTTTACTTCACTAGTATAAGGCAATAATTTTGCATCCATCAGTAAATAATCAATACGTGTGTACACATTGTGAACATTTGAGTGAAATGAATAGGCTCTCCCCTGTGGATTGAAGATCCTCCAGCTGTCGACCAAATTAGAATTATTTAAGTATTCCTTAAGGAAAATACTAGTTTTAGAGGCCGGTGCTCTACGCGTTGACGAGCGATCCAAGTATGGATCTAAAACCAGATTTAGGTCCCCTCCAATGATTAGATTAGTCTGCGAACTGTCAGGTATTTGGGCTAAAACATGTTTGTAGAAAAGTGGAGAGTCTATGTTGGGGCCATATATATTAACCAAAGTTATAGGAACAGAGTACAGTTCTCCAACCAATATTAAATATCTGCCTTCCCTGTCGGAAATGGTTGATTTATGAGTAAAAGGCGTACCTTTCTTAAATAGTATTGCCACACCTCTAGCTCTCACTGCACAAGTAGAATGATAAGCTTGACCTGTCCACCTGCATCTCAGTTTTATGTGCTCATTCTTATTAAGATGGGTTTCCTGAAGGAAAATTACATCACTGGACAATGTCTTTAGGTGTGCTAATATCTTACCCCTCTTGACAGGATTATTCAAACCTTTAACATTCCATGTGACCAAGGTAACTTGTCCGCCCTTCTTTGTTTGCGTGGTATTAACCTGCATAACTCAGGTCAGAGTGAAAAAGAATATCTAGGTCCTCATAAGTGTGAAAGAAATGATTATATATCACATATAAGTCCCAGTCCCTCCCTTCAAACAAAATGCTTACTGTCTTGCCTATACTAAGAACCTGCAGAGTAAGGCGCGACCCTTCTAAGGAAGCCATACATAAAAAAATAAACAGAAAAATTAACATAAGATTAACACTCACACAACAAAGACACAATAACCTACTCAACTAACTTCCCTTACTATTAACTCCTAATTAGAAGTTGCAGAAAGCCCTGCAAAAATATAAAATTAAAGCACCAAAATAACATCCGAACAGTTGGAAAAACAAAAAATGCTCTAGACAGCATATGTCAGGTCATATAAGCTGCCTATTTACAAATATCAACCCACTTCAGATTATCAATGAAATTCAAGGCAGCTAATTATGTAACCAAAATGAAGAATGTAAACATTATATAAACTTTGCTGAATAAACATCACGGGACAGTCCACCACCGAGCACTACCAGAATCCAGCCGTCCCACATCTGCATCAGGCGTTCGCCGCCGGGTCGCCTGCGTCGCCTCCACCCGGGCCAAAGTGGAGCTCCACAAACTTCTGGGCTTCTTTGGCGTCTGTGAACATTGATTCTGTTCCTTTAAAAGTCACTCTCAGCTTTGCGGGATATAAAAGTCCATATCGAACTCCCGGCTTGTCCCGAAGAAGTGCTCTGACATCGTTAAACGCAGCTCTGCGTCTCGCAACCTCGGGGGAGAAGTCAGGAAAAATGCGGATCTTCTGCCCGCAGTAGGCGAGGTCCCTCTGAGTCATGGCCTTCCGGAGGATCATTGTAACGTCATGGTAATAATGAAGTCGCACCACCAGTGCCTGAGGAGGTCCTGTGTCGTCTGGGCGCCTTCGTAGAGCTCTATGGGCGCGGTCCACCAGCGGTAAGTCATCCAGAGCCAGCACGTCTTTCAGGAGCTGCGAGACGAATCCGTTCAACTCTGCGCCTTTCTCTGCCCCTTCTCTTAACATCGCAATCCTTATATTTTGTCGTCTGGACCTTCCTTCCAGATCCATGCATTTTTCAGTAAGCTGATTCGTTTCTGTGCGTAGACGTTTCACTTCCGACTGTAGCGCGGTGATGGCCTCCGCTGACTGTGTGGCCGCTCGTTCTAGTTAAGCAATAGATGCGCCATGTTTGTCGTTGGACGTTTTCAGCCCGTGGATGGCATTTTGCGTCTCGGTTTTGAGGGTGAGGAGCTCTCCTCTGATAGTGGCAGAAACCTCGTCGATGCGAGTGTCTATTGTCTGACAAATTTCGGACTTGGTGATTTGTAGTTCTGTGCGGAGAGAGTTTATAGCCTCCAGAATGTTAGCATTAGCCATCTGATAGCTACCTTCAGGCGAGTCCGGAGCGGCTGGGCCCGGTTCTTTCGTTTTCTTGTCTTTGTTGGAGGACTGCGTCCTTAAATTTGCTTTCATCCTGTCGTAGTGCACTGGAGTGAAGTCTAGCTTGTTCTCTCTCCTAGTCTATTATAGACCCGTCAAAATGTCAAGTTAGTGCGGAAAATATTTCTAAATTTGCAGGAGCTCTCGGGAAACGCTGCCTACTCCTCCATTGCTCCAAGTTCCCCCCAAGTAAAACTGTTTTAAACTGATAAAACAAACAAATAGAAAAATAAAACGTGAAAAATACTTTTTTATCTGAACTGCATTTCAATATTTTTACAGTCTTCTGTGTTGAAAACTGATCTTTCAATGTTTTGGAGTATTTTGATTGTTTTCCTGTTTGCATATTTCAGCTCAAGTTTGAACATTTTCTCTTCAGTCCATCATATTTATTGTTGCTTGGAAATTCTTACTATATCTCTACCAGGCTGTGATTAAAATGTCCTAAATTTGACTTGAATTTGTGTGTTTTAAATTAAGGCCTTAAGACATGATGAAATGTCCTAAGGCATTCTAAGAAATGAAGTCCGCACATTTCTGTGGAGATATCCAGGTCTTAAATTCCATTCGTAGCAGTCTGAAACTCTGAGTTCATTTCTTTGAATTTACTTTCTTAGTTTTATTGGTGCATTTTTTTTCTCCTTGCATTCGAGTTTTGTTTCTTGGGTCTGTTTGTTTCGCCCTCTGTCTCAACAACCTGTTTTTCATCAGCAATCAGATACTTGAGGCAAAGTTTTGCCTTCCAGCTTGGAACAGGAGCCTGAACAACACCCGCTGAACATGTTGAGTCAGAGGGTTAAATACAAATGTAGACTTGCACAGATGTTGTTGTTTTTTTACCACTGTGTAGCATTTTCCTTCCAAACGCTACCTGCATTTGTTATAAATGTGTATGAAACGTTGTGGACATTCTACTGACGTCGAAAAAACACAATTTTGTAACTGCGGTGTGTCTCATCAAATAAGAAAGACGATTAAAATCACACGTGAATAAGTCGTTTCTGAACATGAACCTCCAACTACTTCCTGTCTTCTTCAGGTGACATCCGGCTGTCGATCATGTGACTTGTGCGACGCAAAAAATTGGTTTGGCAAAAAAACCCACTTCATTCTAACAGCAAAAGTTTTTCTCAAAATTAAGCATCGTTTCAAAATTGGAGCGTTTCTACAAAGCAAATTTGTTTTCAAAATGTCAAACTGCTCACATGTATGATCAGTGGAAATGCAGATCTCTGTGCCGCATTTCCACACCGAATTATAAAAGAAAACTGGTGAAGTCGTGGCTGTGAAGTGGGATAGACACCTCACGTAGGAATGGTAACATTCAAGACTAAATGCCACCACCTGTCTCTTCTCAGGAGCACAGCGTTGAGACCCCGCACGGCATCCTACGCGTGACCCTCCATGGGACGCGGACCACCCGCCGGCCCGCCATCCTGACCTTCCATGACGTGGGTCTGGACAGTAAGTAGAGCTCTCTCTCTCTCTCTCTGCGTCTTCATTTCTCCTCCTCATCCTCCCTTCGCTCTTTTTCTCCGGCAGGTAAGAGCTGCTTCTCTCCTCTGTTTAAATTTGACGAGATGCAGGAGATCGTCAAGAACTTCACCCTGATTCACATCGACGCTCCGGGCCAAGAGGAGGGGGCCTCTGCCTACCCTCCCGGGTACGCTGACCTCCGTTTCCTAACATAACCGCTCGTTTTCTCAAAGTGCGAATTATCTTCTGCGCAGGCCTCAAAGTAATCCCCTCTATAAATACTCAGTGTCCACATCTCTCACATCTCCCCGCTCCCATATCTGCTTGCTAAATACGCTTTTGTCAGAGGGCTAAAACAAAAATCCTGATTGCCTCGCTCCATTTCTTTCTGCTGTCGTAGCTACCAGTACCCCTCCATGGAGACCATCGCCGAGATGATCCCCGCTGTGCTGCAGTTTTTCAAGTAAACGCCGCAACATTTGACTCGACTCATACACATACGATGTGCTCCCATGCAAAATCTCTTTAAATTAAGCTCTTTTTCTTGTTAATTCTCTCCTTCTGTCAGCTTCCGTACCGTCATTGGAGTGGGGGTGGGAGCGGGAGCGTACATCCTCTCCAAGTTCACAGTGAGTAGCTTCTATTGTTAGAGCTGTCATTTTTACCATCTGTGTCCTTTGCATAATCTAAAGTAGCTGTCAGGATCTGACACTGTTCTAGCAGACAGGCAGATGAAGAACGCGGCGCAGTCCCGTTGAAGGACTGCAAATTAGGGGATTCTGCTTTAAATAGATATTTTTTGAGTGGCAGCTATCAATAAAGCTGGGAGCAGTGTTACAGTTTTAAGCCGTTTTAGATTTTTTTCAATTGCACCAAATTTAGGGAAAATACTTTAGATACTGTGTATCTGGTACTTCTAGAGAGAGATGCACCGATATGACAATTTGGACTAATATCGATATCCATTATTAATCTTCGGCTATACTGAAAAACCAATATTTATTAAAAATATAAACATATATTTCCTACTGTTTCAAGGTTGTGTGAAAGCAACATCCTGGGTTGTTCATATGAGCTCAGTTTTACTTATTGAATCGATACCAACATATTAAAAAACAGCAAACATCGGCCGATACCATTGTTGATGCAGATGCATTGTTCATCCCCAGGTAAGGTAAGAATTGGGCATCTACGATACATAGTCATCGACATTGATATAAACCAATGCAAGTCATTTTATAATGTACATGTATATGGCTGAAAAGTAAAACTGATCAAACTAATATATTAAAAAAAGACAAACATCGGCCGATACCAATGATGATACAGATATATATTGTTCAGCCCTTAGTAAGATAAATAGTAATGGTGTAAGACAGATTGACAATAACATTGGTATTGGCCATATGTTAAAAAAGTGAGCCACTTCTTTAACATATCGGTGTCGGTCCAAAAAGTAAAACCAATCGGGCCAATACCAATATTTTTTAAAAATAGATAAAAATCAGCTGATATTGATGTTGATGCTGATACATTGTTCATTGCAGTAGTTAATAGATATTAGAGATGCATGATGTACCATCTCATGGTCTCGGGTCCAGTAAAGTCGAATACACCAACAAAGAAAAGGCGCCAGACATGAAGCTACCTTGAGCTCAGGCAATCTGCTCTCTAAATTCTAAAGTTGAAGTTTTACTTGCTTTAAATTTGATTTCCGTCTGCAGCTCGCTAACCCAGATTCAGTGGAGGGCCTGGTTCTGGTTAACATCGACACTAACGCTAAAGGATGGATGGACTGGGCCGCTCACAAGGTTTGTCTGCTCACCGTCTGACTTCTTGTCTTCCTGCTGATAGACACTTGAGATTGTAACAAAGTTTGACCTTTAACTGTTAATCAGTTAAAGGATATAAAATTAGACGAGAAAGTGCTATGGATGATGTTTCTGAGCTTAATCGATCTGTTCTCTGTCTCCTCTGTAGCTCAGTTCTGTGACTTCCTCCCTCACAGAGCAGATCCTATGTCACCTTTTCAGTCAGGTACGGCGAACCCTCCGGAAGAAAACACTTCGATTTACATCATCTCTTTCACGTTTTATTTTTTAAAAAAAAGCTATCCTCTTTTGTAGGAGGAGCTTTCAGCAAACACAGACTTGGTGCAGTCTCACAGAGAGCGGATCTCCAAAGCGCCTAATCTGGCCAACATGGAGCTCTTCTGGAAGACGTACAACAGGTAAAAGTGTCCTGCAGGGGGCAGCACAGGCACCAGAACCCAACCGCGACTAACCCCATCTTTCTCTCCGCCACAGCCGCAGAGATCTGAACCTGGACCGCAACTATACCTTCAAGTAACGTCACCTCTTCTGTCTGTGAAAAAAAAAAAGTAAATAAAAATGTCCGAAATAGTTCAATGCAGCCCGTCTGAGTTTGAAATGTGTCTTTATCAGGTGTCCAGTGATGTTGGTAGTTGGGGATCAAGCTCCGTACGAAGATGCGGCTGTAAGTTTAAGGTCTTGTAATTTTGATATTGCATGGAAAGAAAGTTGATTTTATTTAATTTGTCATGTTATTCTACCTGTGTCCACCAGGTGGAGTGCAACAGCAAGCTGGACCCCACATCAACGTCCTTCCTGAAGGTGAAACATCAGTTTGTCTTTGCTTTAGCGTCTCTTCTTTGATTCCTGTTGTAACTCTTGTTGTCCCTCCCGCAGATGGCCGACGCAGGCGGCCTCCCTCAGCTCACTCAGGTAACTGGGAGCAGCTGAGCGCTTTAGAAATGTCACAAACCCCTGAGTCCGCATTTAAAATACATGAGAAAACGGCCTAAGTGTTAAAATAAAGGTTGCGTTTGTTTAAAAATCCTACTGAAATGTTTTTTCTTTTGTTTAACTGATTGTTTTTATTGTTGTTTTTCTGTGTCTGCAGCCCGCTAAACTCACGGAGGCTTTCAAATATTTCATCCAAGGAATGGGTTATAGTAAGTTAACTTTTTCTGAAAATTCATCTAACATTCCTCAACTTGATTATGGGCTCTTTCTGTTTGTATGTTTCTTGGTAAGGAAGTATGTATATATATACACATATGTAATATCAGTAAATATTGTTTATTGCTCACAACAGCAATACAATATCAGTATTGGTGCATCACTGAATGTTACATGAAATTCACAGTATTTCTAATAGAAATGCACAATATATCAGCCCTAACATTGATGTCTGCTGATACTAGTTTTTTATATCATGTTAGTTAACAAAACTGGGCCAATACTAATAACCAATATTTATCATGATATTGTTATTTGTTTCTGGAAGGAGTGGGCAGAAGGCTGCTAATGTGGCATTTGATTGGTCATGTAACAATGATGTGGAGAGTTTAATTGAAGTAGAGAAGAAGTGGTGCGCTCAGCGGTGTGGTAGTTTTTTTCTTTCAAGGTGTCAAAAAGATATTGTATAATATGGTATCAGTTATTACTTTCAGATATCGGCCCAATTCATCCCATCAATTCATCCCTAATTACTTGCATGTTTTTAAAATGCTTTGAAAAAGGCAGTGGCTTTTCTTTTGGACACCAGTCATATTAAAATAAAAGTGATTTGTATCATTATTCTGAATGCAGTGACGGCATTTAATATTATTTCTTAACGTATTATTTAAGGATACTCCCGTTGGAGAAACGGTGGAGGAAATAGAACAACCAGCTATAGTTATCCAGGGTTTAAAACATAATTGATTGGAATTTATCAGGAAAACGATAAATCAAAATTCTTAGAAGAAATTTATCACGATAAACGATACGATAAATGCCCACGCCTATGCTCACATTAGGTATTTCAGATTCCATACAATCTGATACTTGCTTTTTGGCTAATATCAAACAGATTTCCAGGACTGTAACTGAATGCCATAGTGACGGGAATGTTCCACAGTGGGTTGATTTCATCACATTCACCACCTTCTGAACATAAATAAGCTTAATCTTTCTCCTCAGTGGCTTCCTCTTGCATGACCCGCCTGTCCCGCTCCCGCACCACCTCGCTCTCCTCCTCCTACTCCATGGACGGGTCCCGCTCTCGCTCGCGCACCCTGTCCCAGGGCTCGCAGGGGGGGCAGATGCCGCCCAGCCCCTCCCAGACCATGGAGGTCTCCTGCTGAAGACGACTCCCCACCCCCCTCCTTCCGCCACCCCGCGACGGCGAGAGCGGAGAGCGACAGAGGAACGAAGGGCAAAAAGGTGAACGCAAAGGAAACGAGACGAACGAACGGCTTTCTCTATCGGTCAAAACACGACCCCCACCACCCCTCTACCCCCCTCGAGAGCAGACAGAGAGAGAGAGAGAGACGGCCTGACCTCCATGTTGGTCCAGCGCAGATGCAGCTTTTCAGCTAGAATAGATTAAAAAGAACCAGGAAGGAGGTGCAGAACGGGAAGCAGTCCTCTCTCCCTCTGTCAGCCTGTAGACCCCCATAACCTAGATCCAGAGTGCAGCATGTAGAAGCTGCACTCAACACCTCGACCCGTAGAAACGCGCCAAGAAGCAGAATTGATGATGATGATGATGATGATGCTGAAGCTAATGATGATGTAATAGGAAACAAAACTGTAACACTTTTCTCTTTATTACATGATTTTAATATAATATAGAATAAAAAAAACATACTATAGCAGAGATACTTATTACAATGTGTGTGTCCACAACTTTTACTGCTAGTTTCTAATGTGTGTTTTTTTTTTTTTTTCTGATTTGTAACCTGTCTCAACTAAAGGCTGGAGCCACTCTACCAACTACATGTGCGTCTCAAAAAAAAGAAAAAAGAAAAAAACATTTAACATAATTCAAAAATGGATTTATTTCGGTTTTGTTCAAAAACTGAAACTATATATATATATATATATATATATATATATATATATATATATATATATAATGAGGCATTAAATTTCAGTTTTGTATTTCAAGCCCTCAATGGTTGCGGCTCGCAGTTGATGAAAACATAAAATTATATTTCTTAGAAAATGAAAGCTTTACACAAGACCAATATATTATATAGATTAATATTAGCTCTGTTCTCTGCATGTCTTTTACAAAATGAGCTTTTCTTTCAAATCCTCTCACTGCTGCTCACATTTTTCCTGTCCACATGATGTTCCGTCAGTTCGTACAGACGCTGCACTTTATCACCGTTATTTTTAAGAATTGCTTCTTTATGGATATCTCGGTGAAAAACTGGGCAACGATCATGATTAGGTCTTTCATTATATGGGTAAAAATGCAACGATTCTGTATTAAAAATGGATTTTTATTGGTCTTGTGTACGAGTTTTCTGGGGAACATAATTTTGGGGTTTTTCATTGGCTGTAGGCCTTAATCAGCAGAAACAAACATTTGAAATATATTACTGTATATGTAATGAGTGTGTATGATCAGTTTCAGGTTTTGAATTGACAAAAATAAATTCATTTTTTAATGGTTTGCAGATTTTTTTTTTTTTTAGATAAACATGTATTTCCTCCTTGGTGTTGCCAGGTTTGTTTTTTTCTCTTTGTCTTCCACACGTCCCGTCCTCAACGTTTTACTTTATCTGCTATGTTTTCTATTGGATGTAAAGAGGTTGAGAGTTGTAATTTTTTTCATTTTTTTTTTTTCTAATTTGTTCTCCTGGAATCTGCATGCCTGGTCTCACCCCACGTGGCTGCTGACCGGATATTTTTCTTTCATATTCTGCTGATAACGTGTGTTCGTTTGCGTCGTTTTGAGTTCGGAGCGGCGGTCTGCTGGGCGGGGCGTTGGGCGCTGTCGTCAACTCGAGTCGCACATTTCTAAACTAGCGCTTCCGACTTTTCTGGCCGCGTGTGGAAGCACCCGTGACGCCTGCCGAGGCCAGAAGGGATCACTGTGTTCACCGTGTGGGTTGTGGTTCTTTTTTTTTTCTTGTCCTCCTCTTTGGTTTTGTGCGGGGGACTAGAGATTTACCAATTCCCAGTAGGAAAGATCAACTGGTCAGTTGCTCGTGTGTTTGCGTGTCGCGCAGAAGGAAATAGGAAATCGTCGCGTCCGGTTTGCAGATTTAACTCAGCTAAGTAGGAAGGACGAAAATGGAAACCAGAGATGCTTTTTTTTCTTTTTGTTCCTTCTTTGTTTTTTAGAACCCATGTGAAACAGCCCCCCCACTGCCAAAACGAGCCAAATGAAAACCGCCTGAACCTTGAATCGTCCTGTTACAGCTAGGAAGTAACGGTGAACTGCCAAATTTCTGCGCCTCGTTCATCTGGTGACTCAGATTCTCCCTCTGAACGTTAATATTTCAACACAAAGCTGTCCACTGCCCTGAGACATGTTGCCAAAAGCCTGACTAGTTCTAAAAAATAGAAAGAGCCCGTATGCGGACGCAGCCATGAACGTTTTCACATTTTCAAAGAGAGGCCGAGCCGCAAGCATGCATGGGAAGTCCGTGGAAAGCTTTTGAGACGGAGGTCATAATGGCGGGAAGCGGAGACGAGACGGAAAAGAAAAATGTAACAGGGATTCAGAGTGTTGTTGGTCTCAAGGCAGGTTCCGATTTTCAGTCAGACACGGAGGAAATCTACCAGGAGGAAAAAGTCTTTCTAAAGAGTTGAGCAGGGATGTGTGATTGTAAATGCTTGTCCATGTCGTCTTTTCTGTCTGACTCTTAATTTTTTCTTTCAATCTGTTTTTTCCTCTTCTACATCTCTTCTTCTTTTTTTTTTTATCTGTGTGAAGTGTTAGTTTATTGTCCCGACGTGCTCACAAGTTAGTTAACCGTGTGCTAGTTCTTGTGTAACTTTTTTAGCATTAGCGCTTATAAGGGAGAGTAATATAATTAATAATTAAAAGATCAAAAGTAAAATACAAAAAAATAAACTGAAATTTACTTGTGTGACTCATTTCCCTGTGTAATACGATGAACATCCTTAAAAAGCAAACTTAAATATCAATAAAAGCTTAAAAGAGGAACAACTTGTCCACTGTCTTTATTTCCACATGCAGTTTCTCATTTGTACACTTATATATTTAAAAAATAAAAAAAACTGAGTAGAAACTGCCCAACTGTTTTTAAGTTCTCTGTGCATTGAAAGGATAAAAGCTTTTGCAACATGGCTGAATATTTTTGAGACTCTTCTTAAGGTGGTGACGCCGGGCGGGAGCACGAACAAAACAGGCTTTCCATTGATCAGGGTGTCTGTGCATCCTTAAGGTTTAAATGTCAAAAATTAGGGTTCCAAAACATCTTAAATCCATATTTTAAAAGTAAGTTGGTTCACATGATGTTGATGTCACAGAGGTCCCATTTTTATGGAAATATTTTGTCGGGCGAAATAAGAGAAGCTTTTTTTTCTTTTATTGGATTACATTGTATGTTTAAGAAAATTCAGAAGACTAGGGGTCAAGATCTGCAGAGGTCTGTTTCAGTAGTTAGTATTTTTACAAGTGATGTTGTTGAAATCACACCTGCAAACAAATGTCTAATTTTCAGTGGCTAACTTCCAGTAAATCTTTTATTTATTACATTTGTCCATTTCAAGTTCTTTCAGAGGGCATTGTGAGGCCGTTAACAGCTGTAGCAACAATTTTGCTGACGTTTGCACATAAAGTCAAACGTCTTGTGGCATGTCATTTCTCAGAAATCGCTTGAATGTAAAAGAAATGAAAGGAAAACCATGCCACATTTCGTGATCGTGCTTGGGGATTCTTTCTCTCCGGAGCAGACCAGGACATGGCGACGTTTGCCAAACACGCGGATAGGGGATTGAACAAGTTAAACTTAAAAACAACAAATACCTGAAGTTGAGGCGTGTAATTGGATGCGTTTCTTTATGAAATACTTTTAGCTCTGTGGATATTCAGCACTAAGACTCAGTCTCATGCTGAACAGAATTGAATGCAGTATTGGTGTTATTTGTTAGTTTTGAAATCAAATCACTCATTTTAATAACTACAATATGATTTTCCCCTCATCCCTAGAAAATTCCCTCATGAATATAGTTCATATCAAGATTTCAAATAAATACATAAATACATTTGAATGCACAACCACATTGTTACAGATTGTGCTCAAAACACACATCACCGCTCACAAACTGTTTGAAATTATTCTTGCCAACAACATTTCCTTTAGGGTGAACCCTAACCCTAAAGCATACACTGAGATGTAATTTAAAACATACTGAAATTAATCATTTAAAGTAAGCGTAAAGTGTGTTTAAAGTTAAAATGTCAAAATTGGTACAAGCATACTTTTAGCATACTTCATATATTTATAGGGAGTACACTTAATACTTAGTATACATAAAATGTACTTTCACAAATGAAAGCATGTTTTAAATATACTAAAGTAGGCTTTTTATTTTACTAGGGAAATCTTCTGTTATTAATTATGTTGAGTAGGATGTTACCAGGTAATAAAATGACGTCATGAGGGCCCTGATGCTTATTAACAGTTAACAGTCTTGTCTAAAGGTTATTTTGTAATAGAGACCTCACATTTTGATGTTTTGTTGGGTGAAATATGAAAAGCAGCTTTTTGATCAGATTGAACATATTTATCTTAAGATACATCCTTCGTTTCACGTCATGATCAAAGATGCCTCGAGATCTGTCACTCAACTTTTACTGTTAGCTCTACAAGGCTCCGACTTTAACTTTCTACGATGGAAAGTCAAAGTCGGATTAATTAAAGTCCATCATTTGGATGTGGAAAGCTGTCAGAAGAACTAAGAATATCAATGAGTTTTGCTCCTCTTCCATTGAACGTCCACTCAGTGTGGGTGGAGTGGCAGCAGCAGCGGGATCTGTAAATACATGAACAACAACAATCATCAAACCAGAGACCATGAGCTGCAAAGGCTTTTATTTCACAATTTTCAAAATTATTCTGTCGAACCAAAATTCAAAACCAGTGTCTGATTTTCATTGGTTCATTTTCAGTATTTTATTTTCTTTTTTAAAGAATTACTTGTGTGATTTTGAAGTCATTTCAGTGGCCGTTGTGGGCTTTATGGTCATTAACAAGGGGGGTTCAAATAATTTTGTCCATGTGTGTACAGCTCGACACGCCACTTCTTAGAAATTGCTTGAATGTAAAACAAACGAAAGAAAAACCATGTGGTGAATGTTTGGGTGTTTTACATGCAAAACAATCCAGGACCAAACAGATTAGATCGGGGGTTTTCCCTCTCTGACTGGTGAACCTTTCTTAAACTAAAGAAAGAAAGAAACGATACCTGAAGGTTAAGAGAGGACACTAATCAGGTGTGTTTGTTTAAGAAATAGTTTTAATTCTGTGGGTATTAAACATGTCTGGCTTGCCACTATCAGAAAATATAAATGATGCCCACAAACACAAAATAATGCACCACAGCAATTCTAGTTTTGTTTTGCTCTTTTTCTCTGCAACTTAAATATTTCATCAAAATGATTTTACTGTAAGACCAAACTGTTTAAACACAAAAGGCAGTTTTTAAATGATGATATAATATGTTAAGGTAAAAACATAAAAATCACAACATGGAGGTTATGTATCTTAAAACATAACTAAAGAAAAGTCATGAAGAGGGTCCCAAGGTTTAAGATTTCAGTGGACATAGTGAGGGCCATAATCTGTCCAAAATAAAGTAAAGGATGGGGACAAACTGAACAGGATGCAGTCAAATGCTCTATCCACCTGTCCTTCACTACTCTGGGGTTCTCTGTGTACATCTTGTTTATGTCAGATGTAGCCTTAGTGAAGTTTATTTTATGATAAAGGAAAATATTTATTACTCATTTAATATACCTTCTTTCAAGCTCAAAAGTCGTCATGATCAGAGAAGAAACATTAATTCACTCCCACCACTTATAGCACAGACACATTCAAACCTATATTGGTAACAACATGGTCTGTAGGTTTATTTTATTATTATTTTCATAAATTAACATACATACACTGAATAAAAACTCTTCCCAAATTTTGACTTACACTCGAGTTACAGCAAACAAATTAAAAGGCAGGAAACTCCCTTATGGCAAAGTCAGGGTGGAGTCAGGGTGGAGTCAACAAAGGTGACTCCACCCGGAGTGATTATAGTATGGTGATCCCCATTTGAAATCATTTGAAGACGGGAGCTGTTTGGTTTCTTCCATTTTCTTACACCTTGACCCTATTGGGGTCGGGAGCTGCTGGTGTGTATCTCTAGCTAACGTTCCGGGCGAGAGGCGGGGTCACCCTGGAGGTCGCCAGTCTGTCGCAGTGTTTGATTTCTCGGTGAGTAAATTACTCTTACCATGAATTTTGTATTGTAGCACTCAGAGACGCAACTACAGACATTTGGTTATGCATATATCATCAAGCAGAAAGACTAAGTGCTCCTTTTTGTGTCATTACATCTATAGCTCATTACTGCATGCGGTTGTATACTGACATGTGAAATGCAATCCCACAACAACAAACTCCAAGCTCTTTGCCCTCCTCTGTTTCAACCGGACTTCAGCTAAATGGATCAGCTGAACCCAGATACCAGAGCGTTTGATTAGGTCGCAGCTTTTTTCATGACTCATCGATTATTCTGTCCAAATGACAATGAAATTATTCTCAAGCTGCTACAAGGAGTGCTCAGAAACATTAGTTGGAGACCTGAACATGTCAGTTAACTGTTTGATGCCTTTGTGCAGTGATTTGTGTTGGTGAATGGAACTGACAGACCACACCTCCTGACATGTTCGCTCCAAATGTTGCACTGTATTCAAGTTGATTACATCACACCCACCTGGAGATCCAGAACAGGAAGAAGCATAAGCCGGTTGTCAGAGGGAGGTTTTAACTAAACTTTCCCTAAACCTTACAACCAATGAGTTATACTGGCATAAGAAGTTACTTTGGAATGATATATTTGCAGGGAAACATAGTTTAGCTTCCTTATCTGTACCTATCTTTACACACAGCTGTTTAGAAAATGCAAGATGGTTCCAGAAACCAAACAAAAAAACACGCATCACCTGATCATCACCAAGTTCCGAAGTTTGTTTTAGAAAAAACAAACTGGCAGTGAAAAATCTGTATCAGACAGAAACATTATGGTTTTTATTTGCAGATGGCATAAGAATAATCATCAAAAACCAAAACAGAAAGTTCACTTGAACTTTGTATTTTAGTCTCCCTTGAAGGTCATTGGAGAAAGACAATAAACTCAGTGATCAGTTAACAGGCTCTGTTAACTCCAAGCCTGATCACTTTAGTATTAAAATATATCACTGTTTTAATCTACTGTAGTCATGCCAGGACAGTGTACAGTGCTAAAAATGCAGCATATGCATATCTGCGTATGGGAGCTTTCACATCCACTGAGTGCTTCTCCCCTTGCGGTGTTCCCAAAAAGTCCCACAGTGAGACTCGGTTTCAAAAAGAGCTAGTGTCAGCGACTCTGATCACTAGTGATATGTAAAAGAGTGACTGGATCACAACAATAATGTTCATGTGAAATTACCATTAAAAGACTGCTTTGTCCTGTCTAGTAATCTTGAAATAACAATTTGTTTCATAATCTGAAACGTAAAAACAAATAACACAAAATAAAAAAATATGGAGGGAGAAAACACAAACTTACATCTTCTGTGGAGCCACGTCTTTATTAATGTCAACGAATGAACTGACTGACATGATGAAAAAGCTAAATATTTTTCCGTTGTTTTTCTTCATGACTGTGTTGATGACCGTTGACAGAGGAAAGAAAAGCCTGGGATAAATCATGTCTTACACGACGTTCTTGGTGAGAGTTGTTGCTGGTTAACAGGTAGGCCCAACGTTTGCTTTATCTTGCAACTTTAAACAATTTTAATCTTTGCAGCAACTCAAGTCTATTTCTTCTGTTCACTCCAACACAGAATTGCACCTGCATTTAGGTGTAAGACACGTGATTTGAAGCAAAGTCAAGCGCTGGAAAGTCCCCTGGCAAGGTGCTCAGGTGAAGTCAAAAAGTGAAAGTAAAAAATACTATAAATGTGGTGAAGTGGCGATTTATTACCAAAACATAGTGAGGAAACAAAGCCTTTCTCATCTCATTCACAAGTAAGTATCATCTGTCTTTTGAATTTAGTAGCATAGCGTTAGCAAAATCTCTCTGGAAACCTGAGTGCATGTAAATCTGGTAGTGTGTGAAGTTGGAGGTGTTTTGCATACAACAGTGTTCTCTTGTGTCTAGATAAATATTGCACATTTAATGCCCATTTTTGCAAGTTATTTTTTTCTGCACTTGCTAAACAGTTTCCAAAACCTATTTTTCTGCTTCTGTTCAAACCAGATCAGATTTTCTTCGACAAAATGGACAAATTGGAAGTAAATTCCGGACATGTGCAACAGTGTGGGCAATTTGAAGCTTCTGTTGCTGCCTTATTTTCTCCAAATGACAGTATAAAAACTCTTGAATTACTTGACTTTATGCAAGGACTGGTCAGGAGTATTAAGTGGAATCCTGAAGACGTATCTATCCTGTTCGATGCCCTTCAAAAGCGATTTGAGTCGGGGTGTAGAAATGACAGATCGCATCTCCTCATATGGTTGCTCCAAATGTTCCACTGCATTCAAGTTAACTACATCACACCCACCTGGAGATCCAGAACAGGAAGAAGCCTTCTGGAGTTGGTCAGAGACAAAGCAGTGACCAATGAAGCACTCAAGGCGTGTTTGGGAGACGATGAAGACAAAACCTTGGATGAGATTATTGAAGAAATCCGTGATGGAGACTTTAACCAAGTTAATAATGAGTTGTTGGCCGAGATCAGAGGTATTGTGTCATCAGTTCAAGCTGCTCTTATGTCCGCCAGTTCAGGATCAGAGCTGACTGGCCTGAGAAAAGTCTTGCTGACTCTTTGCCGGGCAGCAGAAAAAACTCACTTCAGACCACGACTGACCCAGATGGTGAGCTGGTGCCTCATGGCTCCTTCCAAAACGGGACGCCTCATTCAGGTCGGCACTGGAGAGGGGAAGTCCTGCATTGTGGCCATGTTTGCAGCCTTTCGAGCTCTGAGAGGAGAAAAGGTCGACATCATGTCCAGCTCATCTGTTCTAGCAGAGAGAGACATGAGAGAATGGAAGGATTTTTATGATGTTTTAAAGATCAGCGTGGACTGCAACATCAACAAGCAAGACGAAGACTCAAAAAAGTGCTATGAGAGCCAGATTGTTTATGGTACTGCAGAGCAGTTTTCTGGAGACTGGCTGAAACACCATGTTCTTAGGAAGGACATATTTGGCCAGAGGACATTCCAGTGTGCAATAGTGGATGAGGTGGATTCCTTGATGTTGGACAAAGGTCATCATGTTCTCTACTTAAGCAGTGACATGCCTGCTCTGAAGCACCTCAATCCTCTCCTGGCACTAATATGGGCCACTGCCAACCAGTACAGCAAATTATGGTTAGGTCAAGTTCTATTAGAACAGATTAAGCAGGAAGGTTTGGATGAGTCGACTGTTCTTCTACGGTATCTTGTACTGAAAGCTGTAGAAAAGGAAGTAAGGCGTTTTCTGCATTTCACACCATGTGAGCTGAACAAGTCGGAAGGAAGCTGCTACATCCCGAGTTTCCTTTCAGATCTTGTAGAATCTAAACTAAAGGTCTGGATAAAAAATGCATTCCGTGCGCAAACCATGGAAAGAGATGAAGAATATGTCTTAGAAAGTCATGGTATTGTACCTGTGGACTACAGCTCTACAGGTGTTGTGCAAAACTTCATGACATGGAGTGATGGTCTACAGCAGTTTCTGGAGATGAAACATCAGTCAAAGTTGAGTGATATGAACATCATCACCAACTACATGTCCAATGTTGGTTTGCTTCAAAAGTACAAAAGTCAAATTTATGGACTGTCTGGGACTCTTGGGCAACAAGCAGAGATTGACACCATGAAGAAAATATGTGAAGGTATCACCATCTGCCAAATCCCTTCATACAAGCGCAGGAAGCTGTTTGAGGTTCAAGGAGTTATTATGAAGGATGAGAAAGAATGGATGAAGAAAATTTGTGATGTTGTTACTGAACAAACCAATTCCACCAACTACAGAGCTGGTAGAGCTGTCCTGGTCATCTGTCAGACCATAAAACAAGCAAAAATGATCCACAGAGCTTTTGGGAGACAAGTAAACAAAATGCTTTACATCAACAACAACATGGACAATACTGCAATATCTAAGATCCTCAAAGAAGGTGATGTCATCATAGCCACGAATCTGGCTGGTCGCGGAACAGACCTCAAGATTTCTGACGCAGTCAAAAAAGCTGGAGGTTTGTTTGTTTTGCAAACCTTTCTGCCAAAGAACGCTCGTGTGGAGGCCCAGGCCTTCGGTCGGGCTGGGAGACAAGGAGCACCAGGATCTGGTCAGCTCATTGTACACTTCCGACAATTACCTCCAACGTTGTCTGAAAACTCTTATTTACATATGATGATGGCTAAAAACACCAGAAATGCCTTGGCTGCAGAAGAATTACTTGCCTACATGAACATCCACATCCCAAAGATAAAAAAAGAGGAAAGGCTCTTCAATGTGTATCTAGAAAAACAAAATCTGCTGTACAAACGTGCTAACGATAAACCTTTAGCAACACATGTATCTGCACTTGATGAGTTTTGGGGAATCTGGCTTCTCACAAAAGTCAATGAAACAGATTCTATTGAAACATTGACGGCTCTTCTGAAAGGAGATCTGGACAAAGCCTTAGAAAGACTGAAGCAAAATCAGAGCCCCTTGTCAAACCTCCACCACTACACACTCCATGGCAAGTACCTACAAACACTGGGAAAGCTTTCAGAAAGTATCCAGATGTACACTAGAGCCATAAAACAGGACCACTGCTGGGCAGCCGTTGCATATTATAATCGGGCTTTTGCATCTTTGACTGAGCAGAACCGTAACCAGAAACCTGACTGCCTCAATCGGGCTTTGGAAGATTTACAAAACGCACTTCAGTCTGTCGAGCTTTACTGTGAACAACTTGAAGTCACACGGAGTCACGTCACCCAACAAACCCCAGTCTCTAGAAGAACAGACGACAGATTTGAGAAGCATTCAAAGGCCAGAATCCGAGTTCTAGTTCTTTTGAAAGCAAACATCAAGGAAGCACTGCAGAAGGTCGACCGAGCGGTGCAGAGAGGCGGCTTTGTTAAAGTAGAGGAGAAACTAGTCTGCTTCCTTATGTCGCCAAGAGATTTTCTTCCTTCATCAGCCATCTTGATGAAAGCAGCCTGGCGTTCCAGAGACCTTTTTAAGATCTACCAGCTCCTCAGCGAACCCTCCTTTGATATAGTCAATGAACTAGAGAGTCTTTATCAAATCGGCCTGACTCATGTTTACGAGTTAGACACACTGTTCTCCCTGGGAGGATTTCTTTCAAAGATTTTTTCACTTACATAAAGAGCTTGAGGTGTGAAATGACAATAAAATAAAAAAAGCAAATAAAAGATAATAATAATTCTTTATTTTTGTAGAACCTATTTACACAAATACATTTTACAGAAGAACTATAATATAGACACATATGTATAGGTGTCTTATCTAAAAGAATCACACTTTGATGTTATTTTACTTGAACTTTTCATTTTATCTTTGTTCTTGAGAATTTAAGCACATCTCAGACAAAAATAACACTGTTTATCTTTTCATTTCATGTATTTTGAAAGCAAATGTTTCATATAGATTGAAAATATGTTGTTCACTGAAACGTTATCAATCAGAAATTCAAATGTTTTAAAAATTGGAAAAGTTTTTTTTATGTTTATCATATATATGTTATGTGGATGAAGTGGAATACACAGAAGATGGTTGCTTTTGAATTCTTAATTCACTGCATTTATCTGTATTCAGGAATAATGTAATAAAACTGAAGCAACTTATGGCATAGTTCCCTTTGTTTGAGTATCGTTTTTCCTCATTTTTATTTCACTAAAATGACTTTTATTTGAAAGGTACTGAACAACAGAGAAGGGAAAGACAATTCTGCAAGAGGCCCAGACCAGGCAGCCACATCACAGAGTGATACCTTCTGAAAATTGTCCAGTTTTTCTACTCCCAAAATAATATGGTGCCTTTAAAATGTCTCTTTCAAGTCAAAATGATATAGAAACATAGAACGGGGCTTTGTTTACGCTGAACATTAATGTTTTACTGTCATCGAGTGGTCAAATGTGGGACTGCCTTTCACCTGCAATATGACTTTGCAGGTATTAGTCAAGCACAGATGAAGACAGTTGAGTCCATGAATAAATGTAAGTCAACTAATAATGATAACCAACAAGGAATGGTAGAGTCCTCCATTCAGCTCAGTCTATAGAAACATTGCCAATTCCATACGTAAAGAAATAAGTAATTAGGTCATTCAAACACTAAAGGCTTTCTTTAGGGAAGGGATTAAAAATTGTTGTATTTTTACATAAAATTGAAGATGTCATCATACGCCTGCTTGACTAAATTCACTATTCACTTGGACAGAGCAGACAGCACAGCGAGGATTATGTTAGTTGATTTCTGCAGTGCTTTTAAAGCAGCACATTCTGTGCATTGAGGTTGAATGTCTTTCATAACTGCGAACCTTCAACTTTACTTAGAAATTATATTTCCACCAACGAATAAGAAAAATATGGCAAACCCCATGGAATAAGCCCCACAATTTATATTATTATGGGACGATATGTAAATTGCCCCACAAGATTTCTGGGAACACCTTAACTAAATGTAATTTAATCCTTCACATTTTAATCATTTAACATGAATTAATAAAACTTTCCTGTTGTCTGTTGTTGCCTTGGTAGCGATGACCAGATATGGATTAAGATACTAAAATAATTGGAAATATTAATATTAAATCAATATTAGTCTACAAAAGTTTGGAAAAGTATACAGTCTGCTCTTTTAATAAATTTGCAGGCATGAATGTGTGTGTGTGGAATAAAGACGAAAAAAAGTATGGTAAAATACTTTTGTTTACAAACATTCCTTATCCTATTTTTGAAAAGATGGAAACATCAATTTCTTAAGCTTCATGCAGAAAATTATTTTGCATTTTAGTTGAGGTTCATGCTAAATCAGATAGGCCTAAATTCACAAATCAATGTACAGAGAACATGTGGGGTTAAAATACTGAAACCGTTGGCCTGACATAAATAGAGCAAAATGTGTTCTTTATGAAACGGATGATTATGTGTACATAACATCATTGACCGTTGAAGTCAAGTCAAATGTTTCCCCGTTCCTGCGTTTGTTATTAAGGTGGGTAAAGTTAATGCAATTCAGCCATTATGAACATTTGAGTTCATAATGTATAATGCCTCAAAGCAAATGTGGGTTGAGAAAAACATATTCACAACCCACATATTTAATGTAAGCACAAGTCAATGTTGACCCAAGATATTTTTGGCAGAAATAAGTAATGTAGCCTGTGTGAAAGCATAACATTTTGTATTAACATGTAAGTCTTAGTTTTGTCTTGAGTATAAGCCCAGTATACTTTAAAAAGTAAACTTCAAGCCTCATTTGTAGTATCAAATAAGCTTTCTTGTAGTACACTTGAACGTAGTATATCTTGGTATGTTTGTTTACTTTTCAAACCATGTGTCCAAGAGAGATTGATCCGTTACTTTGGATTTAGCTCTGAAAAATGTTTCGGTCTCTGATACCTGAGCAGATTCAGTTGTGAAGTGAGGAATCCTCAGACTTTCAAATAAAGCAAATGTGTGCAGAAATCAGCCTGTTAGCATGAACTCAAAACTAGTTCTTTATGTGAAAGACATAAAGCATTTGAGATAAAGAAACCTACAGGCTTCATTTGTGTTTGTTAGTAATCCAACTTGTGCTCCATGCAGGTTTTTAAAAAAACATGTTTATTTTACAATTAGCCAAAAACTTTAAAAATCACATTAAAATCAAGGACAGATTTTTGAAAAATGCACATTCCATCCAATATTTTCAAATATGCATTACAATATTTATATTACAGCACAAATGCACTTATTATATTTTATTGTTTCTTTTTAAGTCTTCTTGGCTGAGATGTGCAATTTCATAAGACATGTCTTATGAAATTGCACTGTCCCTTTTCAAATGATTTATTTTCAAATAAATAAATAAAATCAGATGCTACTAAACATTAAATGATAAATACTAAATCATTTGACATTTCATAGGTTAAAAAACATATCCCTTCATGACATTGGTAGTCGGTGGCTCAAGTCGGTGGCTTTATTTTTTTATGTTTAAACTACAGTTTTGAAATGTTTTACGAAGCCCTCTGTTCACAGAGGGATTCTGAGTCTTTCTAATTGATCAAATTGGAGCATAAAATAAATGGAGGAGAGTCTGACTTTTCACATAAAACACAGCTAATCTTGATTCTGTTTTAGCAAACCTCCGGCTGGCTCACTTTCCTCTTTGCTTTTGCCGACGTGAATTTTGATTGGAATCCCAACAGAATCCCACAGACATGCTTTTTAGTTGTCATTTTGACAAAATAACGTGCAAGGTCCAACAAGTAAATATGCAAACAAAAAAAAAATAATAATAAATGTTCTCAAGTTTTTGCATTTAAAAAAAAAACAAAAAAACAGTTAAAATCTGTAGTTGTCTTGATTTTTTTCTTTTAACTTCTCTTTTATTTTAAGCCAAAGAAAGAAATTAGCTTTGAAAATATCCCACCTGAAACAGCCTCCAAGTCATATATTTGAGTTAGGCCCATATTTTCAAAATCCCTCAGTTCAAGAAAAGTATCAAAGAAGGGCTGGTTGATGAGTTGGCAGGTGTTTAAAGGGTCAGTGGAATTATCCCTCTTTGATAATAATGAGATGACTCCCAGGGTGATAATGTACTCTGGTGAGGCAAGGAAGTAAACTGAACTTCCCTCCACTTGAACACATCTGTTTGTTTCCCTGGCCGTGTTCACTACTGCTATTGCTTTAGAAATGTTTGAGATGAGAGACACCAAAACTGCATGTTTGGCCTCTTTTTGTTGGTCAAATCTGTTATCTAATTTCCTGGCAGTGTCTGTGGTTTTTTCACCAGCATAATGATAAGTGACATCAATCTGATCACAGTGGAGCTTCACAGACAGGAGAGCTTTTCGCAAATCTTCCAGAGCCTGACGGAGACACTCTGGATCTTGACGTCTGTTTTTCTGGATTAAAGATGCAGAAGCACGATTGTAAAATGCAACTGCTGCCCAACAGGGGTCCTGGTTTATGACTTTAGTGTACATGTCAATACTCTCTGAAAGCTTTCCCATTTTTTCGAGCTCACTACCTTTGACAGTGTAGTAGTGCACGTTGGATGAGGGAGACTCTCTCTGCCTTAGTTTTTGTAAGGCTGTACTCAGGTCTGCACTCAGGACGGTTTTCAATCTAACAGCAGGGGCTTCGTCAGAAAAGTTTGTAAGGAGCCACATTCCCCAAAACTCATTGAGTGCAGAAACATCTGATTCAGCCAGTTTGTTGCCGTTGCTCTTGTGGAGCAGATCCAGTGTTTCCAGGTACTGACCGAAGAGCTCTTCTTTCTTCTTTATGTTTGGTAGATCAGACTCCACATAGCTAGACAGTTGTTCAGCCACTGAAGAATCTCTGATCTCTTTAACCACTGACATATCGGATCTGGAGTTTTCAGCCAAAATATGAGAAAGCAGCAAGGACATTTCTAGACTTTCTTTCCTGGTGTTGCTACTCTGATAATCCCTCAACTCCACAAGAAACAACTCGAGAAAAGATGCAGATTTATCTAGAATATTTTCAATGAGGGACAGAAGGTTTCTTGTTAAAATAAGCAACTGTAGATTCTTTGGCATATGGGTGGAACAGGCAATCAGCTGAGCAGACCCTGGTGCTCCTTGTCTCCCTGCCCGACCAAAGGCCTGAGCCTCAACACGAGCATTTTTAGGCAGAAAGGTTTGTACAACGAACAAACCTCCGGCTTCCTTTATGGAGTCAGAAATCTGAAGATCTGTTCCACGACCAGCCAGGTTTGTTGCTATGATCACGTCTCCAGCACTTAGTTTCTTCTCAAAGATTGCACTGTTGTTCATATTGTTATTGATGTAAAGATTTTTGTTTGGTATCTTCTCTCCAAAAGCTTGGTGGAGAGTTTTCGCTAGTTTGATGGTTTCACAAATCACTAGCACAGCTCTTGAAGACCTGTATGGTGTAGGCTTGATTTGATCAAACACAACTTCACAGATTTTCTCAATCCATATTTTTTCATCCTTCAGGATAACTCCTTGAACCTCAAACAGCTTCCTGCGTTTGTATGAAGGGATTTGGCAAGTGTTGATGCCCTCATATATTTTCCTCATGGTCTCAATTTCTGCTTCTTTCCCAAGAGTCCCAGACAGTCCGTAAATCTGACTTTTGTACTTCTGGAGCAAACCAACGTTGGACATG